TTTGCTTTCATTTCAGCATACTTTGAACGTTATGACAAATAATGAATAATCAAATAAGAAAATAAATTTGTCTGCATCCAAAAAACGGTTTTGCTTTTCTAAATGGTGCATAACGCGATGCTATGTTATGCTACGCTTTCGTAATGCGGCTAATTTCGCTTTCATATTTATCTTGCTTCTATTATTAGAGCATTTTGAAAGAGAGGAAAATTCTGCTTAAATTGAGACTCTCGCCAATGAGTTTGATAATTGCAATCGAATTTCAGTGCTTTTTAATTTGCGTAGATTTGTAAGCACAACCATCCATTATGAGTTAAAAATCAAAGTTGGAAAATTTCCTTCCAAATTTATCATTACACAATAAAATACAATACTCATTTTTGTGGCTCGTACGCAAGGTCTGCAAGAACATATGTCTCCAACTATGCCTGAATGTAGATTTATATGGAATACAAATTCTGCAAGATTATGCAATAATTGACTTATTTGTTTTGCAATCTCTATTTGCTATTTGCTTTATTCTCTTTTTCGTCTTTTACTGAACCCATCTAATTAGGCATCTTTACCCCATAATTTGGCGGTTAGATGCATATTTTTTTAAACAGAAAATTTGTTCAAAGTGAGGGTTTGTGCTCACCATGTGCATATAGATTTATGAATTTTACTTTTCAAAAGACGTTTGGCGACTAAAAGTCGTGGTTTAAATTTTTTTCGTTTAAGTTCTCACTTTCCAAATCTATGAAAAAAAGACATAAAACTAATTTAATAGCATGAAAAGCAAAAAGTGAGGAGGTCAAGTGTGTGCCAAATGGACGATATAATTAGCTTACGCTGTATCTCGCAGATAAGGCACTTTAAAATTGAGTATTCAAAGAAAAAATGCCAAATTTTTCAAGGGCTTATCTGTTATGAAGAGTAACGGATTAGAACTCATTCCTTTTTTGCACGTTCGCTAATCATCGATATCATTCGACTTCTAAGATTTTTCCATTCACATTGTAATTTAATAGTAAGCGGAGCTCCTATTTAATAGTCTCTTACGTTTATTAAGCAGCGTAAGAATAAAATAAAGAATTTACTTTCGTACAGATTATGTCTAAATAATTAGATAAATAAGCGGGGATTATTTTGCTGAAAACGGTCGAGCAAAGTTTGTTGGTCAAAGAGGCTCTCTTATAATTTACTTAGGGTAATGAGAAACTAGCCCTTCCTTGATTTAATAAGGATCGAGAGAAACGATTTTCAATTTTAATATTGACTTGTTAGTATTATATGGACTATGACGACGATTGAACACTTTATGAACATTTCACATTATCCCACACATACACTGTTACAGGACAATACAAATATTACAGGGAAGCACCATAACATCCAACATTTTTCACAACAGCATAGTCACAGACAAACGACATTTATTTGGACCCACCATTCAGAATGCTATTTGGATCCGCTTCAATTGGAAATTTTGCATAACTTCTTGGAGAAATTCCGTTGTTGATATATGCTACTGCTGAGCCGATATTGCCACCTATTGTAGGGTTCGCTCCCGTCCCGGATCCTACATTGCCACCAATCGTGGGTTTCGTTCCTGATCCGGAACCAACATTTCCGCCAACTGTTGGATTCGCACCTGGTTGGGATCCAACATTCCCGCCTACTGTTACGCTTGCTAAATGGACAATTGCATCAAATTGCTGTTGTTTATCCGAAAAAAATCAGGTAGAACCTGGATCGACACAAATGTTCCTTGATGTGAAAGTGCTATAAGCGCATACTTTACCTTCCGAGCAATCAAGCGTAGTTTGGCATTGATTAACATCGGCAACTGCCTAAAAAGGAAAACACCAGTTATTTGGTTGTTTTGATTATGTTTAGCATTTAGATTACCATGCATTGCCACTGCCCATGGTAGTCCACACAACGTTTTTCAGGACTACAGTCAGAATCACGTTTGCATGGTAGTCCTATGCTTCCAACTACAAAAATAGAAGACTTAAAGTAGCATTGAGTTTTTTCTTAAAGAAATTTACTACTTTCTTCAATATTTTAGCGTAAATTTTGGACTTGATAAATATGAAATTTGATGCCATGGTTACGATATATCACTATGCAGTGATTCAAAGAAGCGGAAAACTAAAGTTATTTCAATTTTGCATAGTCTTTCCTCTATTCTCGATTCATGCTACAACCTCTTTCAAACAATTCTAAAGTGATAACAGTAAACATAGATTTTACGTTACCCAAAAAGTACAATGAAAGACGCTGTAAAATGTCTACATCAGTATTTATACCGCCAAAACTAGCGAGTAAATCCTAACTTCACTTGACAATTTTCTACAAGCGTTATTCTTAGAAGGGGAGAACTTGCGACCAATATGTTTTAACTTACGGACAATTATTCCGTCTCTACACATTTCGTAAAGCACTTGCTTTCTCTGATTAGACTCTGTTACCTTCTATTGTAAGCTTTATCCTTTCGATTATGAAATGCGTAGTGCTTGCTGTGCTCGGTAAGGATGCTTGAAATTCAAGATTTGGCAGTTACTAGTTCTTTACTTCTTCTATAGCCAGAAAAAAAGTACATTAGGTG